CGATCCAATTACTTCAAAAATACAAAATAAATACTTTTACGTGTTTAAAAACTATGAAAATTTTTATAAAAGCTTGAAATCTCTGGTCTCAACTTATTATGAATTAAAATTAATTTTTGATCGTCAAAAATAAGTTTTCCTATTTTCTATTCAATAAACGAATTTAAAAATAGAAAAATAGGAAATTAATTCCAAAAATAGATTTTGAAATTTCTGAGTTATATTGACATGTCAAATACTTCCCAGAAAATATAAAATCTAATTTTCATAAATATTAAGTATTTATGGCACAAATAACAAGTATTCTACACATAAACTACTTAATAAGAATAATATAAAAATACCTCAAACAGTAATTCCGAAAATTACTGAACAAAATTATATTAGGTCCAGTATCTAAATATTGCCACCTAATTAAATTTTTAATGGGATAAATTTTTGTCTGCAAAATTTATTGACTAATCTACAAAAACAATAACGGTAAAAACTACTAAACTAGTAACTTCGTAAGCCAGCTCTGATACCACTGATGGGAAACGAGGCTTGGATAACGCAGTGGAAAACAAAAATTTATAGTCCAAAACTCGATTCCACCCAAGAACAACTTACGTAAATTACTAGTTATAGTAAGAAATTTACCTTAACGGTGAAAACGGAGAACGGAGGAACGGTCGGGGATGGTTTTGAAGAGATGAACATAGCGCCAAACGTATGAAGCCTCCAATGTATCCACACGAACTTGCTCCGGAGTCCAAGATTAAACTTGTGCTAGCAAGTTTAGTACTCCCTCCGTCCCTCATAGATCTTCTCAATAGCCATTTTTCTATGTCCACAATAGATCTTCTCATTTCATTTTTTAACAATTAAAATACCACAACTACCCCCACTTACTTTATTTATTACACCTCACCCACCTCATTAAATACACTCCACCCATTTTTCATTAAGGGTATTATGGTAAACTTTCACCTTTTTTCAACTCTCCTTAAAAATCACCAAAAGTCAAAATGAGAACATCTTAGGGGGACGAAGGGAGTATATGATAGTAAAAACTATAATAATACTACTTTGGGAGTAATAAATATATAGTAAAATATTTATCTTATAAATATTTCTTTATAATATTTTGTGTATATTTCTAACACTTTAGAAAAATAACTTTGAACACAAAATAAAATTTTCTTCTCTCTTTCTTGTGATGGCCGAAAATTACAGTAATAAAATGGGGAGGGATAGTCTATAACTATTATCCTTCTGTCCTATATGTCATGATTTAACACAAGGCATGGGATGTGTATCCTTGTATAGTTAAATCAGCTGCTACTGAATCTCAAGTAGACTGGCAGGGATCAGATATTTATAAGTCTCTAGATAGCGACATATCTGGGCATGGCCATGCACTTTCCCAAGTCCTACTATTCAGTGGGTCCATTCACATTATACTTCTATACAGTAGAAGGGACAGATCCTGTATCTGTTATTCACATCTCTAAATATGCTTAGCGGCATACCCAACGCATAACTGTACGTCTACCAGTATTTCAGATAGCATTAGTTATGAATCAAAGTATACGGCCCCACATATCAGAGAATGTAATAACTTCAAGTCTGAGGATAGTTATAGCAAGGTCGATTTGAGAATACTGATAAACACATTACAGTAGATCCATGCAGTATTCTCAAGATGGGTCAATCCAGTCACATATTATCGATATAATATGCACCTACGTACAGATTAAGATATCACAATACCTATAGTCTATGAGACGCAACTATCTCATCTCGTACGTACTAGTCTTGATACGTTATGACGTCCGTATTATCATAAAGTGCGACTAGGGATATTCTAGACATAGCCTTCGTCAAGAAGTAACAGTCTCATAATCAGAACATTGTAGTCCTCATCTATGTTACTGAAGCGCTGTCGTCTATGGACTGAAGCTATGTTATGTTACACGAGATATAAAACATACTTCAAGGCCTTTCATTCATGATAAAGTGTACAGTTACATAGGTATTTGATTGCCGCTAGGGAACCTAAATACAATAGATAGGAGTTTTCCGAGAAATTCTGAGTGGAGAACTATGCCAAGATATAGTCATCCTCCACCCTAGAAACTATTTGTTCCACCTAAGTATGCTTACAACCGACACAGGCCACACTATGCACAACCTAGACAAAACTATAGGTCTTATCATCCTAGGTTTGCTAAGAGAAAATAGGAAATTGCACCACCTGCTCGTAGGAAATTTTATGCATACAATTATGATTACAATCCCAACAAGTTTAGGGCTGCAAGGAAAATTCCCTGCAACTTCAAACTTGATGTAGGGACACACACCATTAACTATTTCGGACCCAAACATAATTGGGTACCAAAATCTTCCTCCTCCTAATGCAGGAAGCCGCTAAGTACCCTGGTGTCTGGTACTTAGACATTGGCTGTTCAAGACACATGACGGATGATGCGAGTCTTTTGGGCAATCTAATTCCCTATGAAGGTCCCAGTGCCAATCCATCCGGGATCACCAACAAACTCTGTTTTTCAACCAGAAGCTGAACTAGATCAACCAGTCAATCCTAATCAACACAATCTTCGTTGGTTAAGGGATCATCCTCCTCAACAAGTCATTGAAGATATTCAATCTGGCGTTCGCACAAGGAGTGCCCAACAGAATCTAGAAGTTATGCTTGTTTGTTTCATCTCATAGGTGGAACCAAAGAATATTGAAGAAGCTCTAGCTGATTCTGATTGGATCAATGCAATGCAAGAAGAACTCAACCAATTTACCAGAAATGACGTCTGGAAACTTGTTCCCAGACCTACTCATCAACATGTCATTGGGACAAGGTGGGTCTTCTGTTGGGAAACGAGGCTTGGATAACGCAGCGGAAAACAAATATTTATAGTCCAAAACTCGATTCCACCCAAGAACAACTTACGTAAATTACTAGCTATAGTAAGAAATTTACCTTATCGGTGAAAACGAAGAACAGAGGAACGGTCGGGGATGGTTTTGAGGAGATGAACGTAGCGCCAAAAGTATGAAGCCTCCAACGTATCCACACGAACTTGCTCCGGAGTCCAAGATTAAACTTGTGCTAGCAAGTTTAATATAGGATAGTAAAAACTATAATAATACTACTTTGGGAGTAATAAATATATAGTAAAATATTTATCTTATAAATATTTGTTTATAATATTTTTGTGTATATATTTCTAACACTTTAGAAAAATAACTTTGAACACAAAATAAAATTTTCTTCTCTCTTTCTTGTGATGGCCGAAAATTACAGTAATAAAATGGGGAGGGATAGTCACATTATATAATACAATGTATTAAGAAAATGCTAGGAAATTCCTTAGGGACAAAAACAAAAATGAGATTAGTGTAATGTCCCCAACTAACACAACAAGACAAGTATACTTTTGTTAATCAAATATTTGATTATAAAATCAAATATATCATTAGGTGGAATATCAAAATATGTTTTGTATTTTTTCCCTTAGAATTTCGGCCATAGTATATTAAAAAACATTACATTTTATTTTTGCATCAATAATTATCATATAATTAAAATGATGAAAATAAAAGTA